TCTGACGGAATATTTTTCAGACGTTCATTCAAGAGAAAGTGATTCCCATAGTGGGCGTGAAAGTCATTCAGCTGTTTGCTTTACAACATTATTGACATTGCTAGGTTGTAACGGTGAAGATATTGGAGGTAAACTTCATTACCTTGCAGTACAATTACTCTATGAATATAAGAATAAGTGTCGCGAGCTTGTAGTTCTGAGTTGATCGTTCAAATGTTGTGCATGAATTGTAAGATATTCACCTCTCCGAGGATTTGATTTCTATGCAACCTGCAATGTGTGCGAGACAAAAACTAAATTTATGAGGCACTCAACATTTCAAAGTAAAATCCTTCAATAAAACCTACACTTACCGTCCATGCTTTGTGCTCCGACGATCGCGTCCGAAGAGCACATACTACTAGTTTCCAGACCCTTTTAGTTCCGTTTACTACGCTATTTTGAATTCTCAGGCGGGTTACCGCCGTACACCCGTTCCCCGTTCCCCGTTCCCCGTTCCCCGTTACTAGTTTTAGTAACATCCGTATAATTTCTCGCATTTGCTAGACATGGTGAAAATTCGACTGTTCTTTACTTTCTTTTTCCTTAAAAGTAAACTGCTAACTATTAAAATCTTGAGTTAAATATACCATATGAACAGTCCACTTCAGGCGGCGTTCACACAAGTTTTTTAATGATTATTATTTTTATTTCTTAAATTTCTATTTCTACCTACTGGGCACCGTATCAATACAAGGCGAGGAACTGGTTGGGGAGGATGCGTTTATGGCCTTCGAACTCAGCTGATCCTGAAATATTGTTACAAATACAACTGTCCACGCATTTATCTGTAAGTGATTCCAGTAACGTGTTTAATTTGCCTAAATTTTTGTCAGCCTTTCTTTTTTTTTTGCACCTCTTCTGCATTATATTTTTCGGCTCCTAGAGGTGATGTGAATTTGATTGAATTGGCTGATCACCTAAATTTAGCCTTACTCGGAAGATTTTTGAAGGCTTGACGTCGCCAGGTCTGCTTTAAGGCCTTAGTTACGGGAGCCACCTAGCCCCAAGGAGTGTCGCTTTTACACTAGAGAGTTGAAAACTCCCAACGTGCTGCTCCATTTACACTTTTGTAGCTTTAGTGCAGCGCAGAAGAGAGGAGTCAAACTTTATTTCCCATTAATTTAACCGTTCAATCACAGCGCGTTTCGATCCTGACCTTAATAGATGGGATGGCGGTACCCATCCCTTGAAATCCTCCGCGAAAAGGGTTCACAAGTTAACCTTTCCTAATAAAGCGAATCTTGTGATCTTTTCCCTTTTCCTGTGGAAAGGTTATTTGTCTTGTCCAGGTTAGAGCTTATATCTGTAACCGATGTAAATTTGACAAACTGTCGGTACCATGCAGAGTACTTGTGAAACGATTCCTATAACTGAAAACTGATAGGTACACACGCGCTGGCAGGGTACGTGGCAGTTATTAAGTGGAACGGTAAAAACTCTTCCCTGGGCTTTAAACATTTACTTTACTTGAATTGCTTTCATTTCGAGCACTTTGACTGTTCTCGTAAGCTCTTTACACTGTTGCTGACCCCAG